CCATATTTTCAACTTCGATACCTGATTCGCGGACCGTGCATTTAAACGGTCAACTGTAGGCAATTAACTACGAACGAAAGGCGTGTCAGGAGGCATGAGTTCGGCGCGCTGCCAAACCTTCTCCACCAGTTGTTGAAGCGAGCAAATGACATCTGTATCGTATTGTCAGTACCACTCGTTTTCTGCCAGTCATTGTGGCATACCCGCTTCAACAACTGGCAGAGAACTTTCGCTGTGACACACTCATACTGCCTGACTTGCCCTTCGTCCGCAGCGAGCCACATTACAAGGATAAGGGTTCGCCAGTGATCAATCCCTTTGTGGGATGCGGCACGCATTCTACTTCCATTCAGAATCGTAGTGGCTTATTGAATGCGATGTGGCCTATACAATGACTTGCGGGGGCCAGCCGATGTACAAGTCAGTGTTTATCCTCCCAGACGAATCTGGTACCAATTTACCGTCCCCGGAGGGTAGAAGGCTTGGTTGGCCTGGGCGGGAGTCGACCCGGGATTCGAACCCAGGACCGCGCGAGTGGTAAGCGCGCCACTTGTCACTACACCACTTGCGCCTCAAGCTATTGTAAGAGTAAGTGTGCAAAAATGTTCTCTCATTGGCCCTTTTCATTTTGTCGCATTGCGTCACTCATTTGGATTTTTTTCGTCCCCAGTCACTTTTTCCTCACCCACACGGATGAAATAATAGCACGGTAATGTTACAGGTGTTCTCGCCCTGTGTGTTCTCTGTGGCTGGACTTTCCGGCCATTGCAGTTCCGAGAGGTAAGCGAGGAGGAAGAGGCTGAAGACAGTATTGAGATGAAAAAGCCGAAGGATACTGCAATCGAGGTGAGGTAGAGCTACTTATCTGAAGACGATGTCACTCTCAAGTGTGAGACTTTCAGGAGAATGCTGCTCTTCTCATAAGTGAAAAAAGTCAACCTGCCATCAAAGTTCGAGACTTCGCTCGAGAAGCGAAATCTCTGGAAGATATCAGTGCTTCTGATGAGGAGCGTGAGTCTTTTTTTCTGCCTTTCTAGATAAGAATCTGTGACCAGCAGTAGCTTCAACAACCGAGGGTTTTTGCTTTTTTCGAATTGCCTTTCTATCGCATCTCTTATCTGCAGAACTGCGGAACACACCGATAGATTCTTTCGCTTAGCATCGCTTCTCCCTTCTGCTTCTTTCTGTGCGTCCTAGCCTTCTTTCTTCCTTCATCGTGCTGCCATCCTTCTGATCAATCAATCCATATAAATTCGGGTAACTACCTTCCGTCCTGCTCCACGCCTTTAATTTTCATTAAATGTGGAGAGCTTGTTGCAGACCATATTTCGCCCTTTCGACCGGGACCGAACATTCGTGGCGAAGTGGAGGGACGAGAAGAATCCGTAGTATCCTCTGCAGCCTACTGCATCGGAACAATGGGGCGAGGGTATAGAGGATAACGATGCTTTTACATAGGCGAAAGTTATCCTCAAGGCATGAATTATGTATTTGATGCTGAGATGGGCATGTTACTGGGCACAACCTCATAAATTCAGAAACGAACGGAAGGATTGGCACAGGGTGCTAGCCTTAGTGAAGGCGTGAGAACTAGATTAGCGATCGGATGAAGAAAAAAATAACAGCGCAGTTCGGCTTGGTGGGGGCACCAAATCGTAGATATCCGAATATGTTCAGGACACTTTGTGAGTACCTGTGAACTCTACATAGCTAAAGTAGCTCACTTATACCATTCACAGCTTCACAGGAGTTTCCAGGTCTCATCAGTTTTAACCTATCAGTTAACATGAATTAGCAAAAGGAAGTAGTGGAAGTGCAGAATGCCCCCCCCCCCTTCAAACCAACCGACACCGAAATGAGAAGCCCGCTGAGGATTGTTCCGATCAAGCGATCAAATTAGCTCTTGATTGTTGGTTTTTTTGAGTGGTATAAACCTGAAATTTCAGAATGGCCATATTATTTCTTATTACCTATTATTATGTATGAAATTGAGCATTAAAAAACCTGAAACCTTTAACAGTTTTAGACTGTTTTTGTTTGATAACTGCTGTTTTACGCCCCAGTGCGCGATAAAACAGCAGTTATCAGCCTTCAGCCTTGCGGTTCACTGCCGATATCGGCTAACCGGCTCATCACGTTGAACGTGTGAGTGCTCGAAGGCACAAATAGCCATTGAGCTGAGAGGTCAAAAGTGGCCCCGGTAGCGTAAGTGGTAACGCAACTGCCCGGTAAGCAGAAGATGCGGGTTCGAGTCCCGCCCGTGGTCCGACTTTTGCCCACAACTCAGCATTCTGTGATACTTAAACAGTATCCTACTACGAATAATTAACCCTTGACGAGACTTTGTTTGTCATAAAAATAGGTACACCCAGTTGTTTTCTAATAAAAACAGGATCACTTTTACTCGAGTAGCTTCCGCTCCCTTCTTCTTCACAGGCTTCGATCACGAAGATTCTTCTTCTAGGAGATTTGGGAGAGTTTGCAACAGATAGAATGCCAAATATGCCGAAGATATCGACGGTGACTGGTGTGCTAGAATATATCATTGAAGCTCGTGATAGTTTGCTCATGTCATCTCCAAAGAGTAAGGTTTGGTATTGTCGTAGTGTAGGCGGTAGATCTAGACGGACGTGGTGGATGTTGTAGCCCTACGCTGACTTGCTTTTAGTAAAACTAGATACGCTGTTTTGTTTGCCGGCCTGAAATAGAGGTACAGTGTTATTCGATGCGCGGGAAGGGGCCTTACAATGAGGCTAGGTTTGCGCGCCGCGAGCACGTTCTCAACAGTTCTTGAGACAGGTAAAGCAACAGCTGGTAAAAAACGACTATCAGGAACAATCATGATACAGCCTCACTGCTTGCCGAAAGAAAAAAAAGGGTTAGCGCCGCGCCAAACGCTGACACGCCCCATCATCCACAGCGAACGAGACTATATGTAGGGGCATTGACTGGTTACACAAAAAAATACCGAATACCCGAAAACCAGCATGATGAGGCCCTCTTCCGCATACTAGCTTCTGATAGCAGACGTCATAAGACGAATAAAGACAGAGACCGTTTGGATGCAACAAAAACTAGCATAGTGCTCTAAAATCGACGTGTATGCACTCGACGAATTGCTTGGTATGGCCACAAAATGAAAATGGTTCTGAAATGAACTATGCGCATCCGGAGATGGACCTGCGATTCCGCTGATCAATTTCTACTCACATCAGCTCCTCTTTCGTGGCGAAAAACACACATATCATCTATTGGCATAATTTTCTTGGGACAGGCTGGGTATATTTACCCAAAAGGAGACGTCGCAATGCTCGTGCTTGAACCCGTTCAATTCTAAGCCGATTGTGCTAACAGAGATTGTGCGCGTCAGAGAAAGAGAGCACCTAGCATGATGTCATATTTACGTGGGTCTGAGTGGCAGGCTTGTAGCCCTGCTCACAACGAATAAGCTATATTCGTGTTGAAGTACAGCTGAGTAAACACCAGTGAGTTGAGGACCAGTGTAATGGACTCTACATCTGTACCGCGGTCACGGCGTATATCGCGTGCGCGGAAATGTTAGCGCGTCCTATCGGTACACCTGCACGACTCCCGGGGATTGAACTTCAAAGCTAATCGCAAATGTGCATTGAAGCCCGCGGCAAAAGTGGTGAATGCGGCTCAAATTCTTATGCCAAGGCAACAGTAACGTAGCAGTGAAAAAAGCAAAACGAAATACCGCCGGAAATGTCCTATACGGAATCTCATGTTGAGCCGAGGTTAGAGGTGCATAATGCAGAGAGAGGGCGCGGTCGGCGAATTATCAGTTGCTGGTGCGAATTCTATCTACTTATCACTTCACTCTCATCATTCGAAATGGAGAGAGTAGAGGAATAACCACAACCACCACGAAGCCATTAGAAAGGAATTGGGCGTTGCCAGTGGACGGAGCCTCGGTCCTGTCGCGAGCGAGCAGCGCGCTCCCATCTCGTACTTTCGAGCTACAAAATTAGTACATAATCAATCCTTGTAGGGAGAGCTACCATGTCCAAAGAAAGCGTGGGAGCATCAAGCGAACGCGAGCTTCACCTTTAAGCAGCGTCCAGACTTCGCGACAGCAGCGCTTTGGTCACGAAGTCTGAACGCTGCCCAGGGTATATTTGTGATCCAGGTTGGGTTCTGGTGCTAAATGCTCTTGTAGAAATGAGATTTTTTGCCTTAGCGCACCATCAGAGAGCTTGTCAGGAATGAACCAATGCATCACATGCCTATTATGGTGCCTGGCTTTCTTGCTTGTGTGCTGTGATCTTATTCTCGTCAAAGACTTTTTTATTTTCACAATGGAGTTTGCTCCCTCCTGGTTTATAATAGCTTTTAATAACGGCCAAGTGGATGAACATTGTCCGCGTCTAGTTGTTCCAGTACAACGAGCTTGTTTTGTTTTCTTCAATCACCGTTGACTGGTTTGATTTGCGAACCCAAGTGTATTGGACCAACTGCTTTCGTTCATCTGGCATGAACGCACTAGAAATTAGAATAACTGCTGAAAGTCTTCTACCAGTTTCACAGGGATCACGACACTCATTCGAACCAAACATGCTTTATACAAAGGTTGTTGAGCTCAACACCCTGGCGCCTACTTGAATGTTTGTCTACTTTCGGTATAAATGGGTTTTAGAGAATAATGTAGTTGTGCTTTTATTACTTATGTGTTAAGTCTACTTCAGTCCTCTTAAAGATCGCTCTACAAAAACAGTTCAGGTAGGATAAGCATTTTCCACGTCATCATTGAAACTTGTTCGAGCACTCGTGCAGTACGAGAACTTGAAGGCGAGTGGCACAATAAATCTCCAACGGTATAGGATTGACACGCCTAACAGAAAAGAATTCGGCGACTTCAAGCAGGCGCTACGTGGCGTCTTTCCCAGAGAAGATACCCTTATAGCGCCCTTTCACGCTGCAACGCACCGGCCGGGACGCACTCTGCGCTCGCCGGACCCCAAGTGTCCGACCAATGCTGATGCTCGCATCGCTTCATTTGCGAAGTATAATATGAGTTGAAAGGATTGCTAGGAAGCAACGGCGGTGCTGCACGGTTATATGGGTACATACATGAAGTCGTATCTACCGCACCTCTGACTGGCACGATGCAAACGGGAAGCTCGTCCGGAAGTCGTGTAGAGCTGAGTTTTTTTACTGCAGGTTTTTGACCGGTTAACCTCGCTTTTTCGCCATTTTTCCACTATATAGCATCCCTGCTACCGTTTTATACCGAGTATAGAATTATTGACTTATCTGCCTTTAAGCCATGGACTTGGCCATACTAGGGTTCTTCAACAGAGCAAATCTTTTCGCGTCATTGCTAAGAATTTCAACTAATCATAGGCATAGGCAGGGCACAATAGCCTATGAAAATCGTCACGAGATTGTGCGAAACACTGACTCATTTCGTTTTGTCTCATTGCTTCACTTAACTGGATTTGGGAGCAAATCAGGATTTTTAGCCGTCCACCACGCGCGTGATTTCGCTTGCCACGCGCATGATCGAAGGCACCAATACCTCTTGCCGCTCGCCAACCAAGACTTTTATTCTACCGGTCGACTTCCGGTTTCAAGCTTGTGCGTTATGAGAAATACTGAGTTGTACCTCGGCTGATCTGCAAATCACTGCTCTATCGCGACTGAGTGGCGCTGTGAACTTGAGTGGAAGTGGCGAACGCCGTTGCGGCTGCATTCGCTACTGCGCCCCGCGCTCAGCGTCCTTCGGCGTGTCCATGAAATTAGTCTAATCCTTGGCATACGATCTACCATCGCAGCGCACTATCAACCTCATTTCATCAACAGGAATACGGGTTTAGTGAAAATGGCCAACTTGCTCAGTTTTGTTAAGGCAGGGTTCTCATTGGGTGAGTCTATATGTAGTCAGGATCCACTGCAAAGGATGGGGAGTGTGACGGGGCGGTAACTAAATCACCCCTCCCGCCAGTTGTTGCGGACTCAGAATGGCATCACTGGTAGAAAGGCCGCCTTGGCAGCGCTCCAATCAAGACTCCACCCGTCACACGACCAATC